CATGGTACTCTAAATATACTCTTGCAAGTTTGAAATGTTTCAAAAAAGGATGATAAAAGTGAAGGTATTAAATAAGAAAAACTAAAGTGTACAACAAGTTACAAAAATAAAATTCCTTTTTGGTTAGCAGCAGTCTGATCTGACTCACAATGTGCTAAGTAGGCAAGGTTTCACAAGAAAAGAAAAGGAAAAAGACCAACTAGTCTCAATGAAGCCGCCTCTGCATTAACACCAGAATAAAAATGGCACAAGATCATTGAAACTGAATTCATTTCTTGATGAAAAATTCAACAGATAAGTTTCAACTATGCATGAAAACCGACATGCAAGACACTTACATGTCTTTTAAAAATATTAACTATAATTTTTGCCTTCCTAGCTCAAATTTCTAAGTTGTCTACTTGATCTCAATTTCACCTAGTTCAAATAAGAAAAATATATTTTTCTCTACCTTTGTAACATGTTCTTCTGTGCACAGTATGCCTTATAACAACAAATAGAAAGTCATGGCATATTGGGTCTCCATGCTGCCAGATGAACCGTTCACTGCCCATAATCTCTCTCCTCCTATCTTCTTTCCACTGCTATGTCTTCCTGTCATTCTATGTCCTTTGTCTTTTCTATCAGTGAGACCTCCCTCAGTCTCTCCCTTCCAGCTATGTAACAGTTGAAGAAGCCTGTTCAGACGTCAGTAGCTATTAATTCCCTGTGCACCCACAAGAGACACTGCAGCACAGAAAAGGGATGAAAGGGAACTTCCATGATTACTACAGAATACCTTCGTTTCTGCTGCTTCCCCACTGTATTGCCCCAAATTGGGTTCTGCCCTGACCAGAATGAGAAAGAACAGGCAGAAAGGTGATGTAAGCTCCAGAAAAACTGCCAGTTAACTCCTCCAAGGATTTTACCTTGCACTGTGCAAACCAGAAATGAAATGGGTTATTTCTACTTTCTTCTGTAACGGTATCTGTCCTGGTTTTGGCAAGGATAGAGTTAATTTTCTTCCCAGCAGGGGGTATAGTGCTGTGTTTTGGATTTAGGATGAGAATAATGCTGATAACACACTCATGTTTTAGTTGTTGCCGAGCAGTCAAGGACTTTTCAGCTTCTCATGCTGCCCTGCCAGCGAGGAGGCTGGGGGTGCACAAGAAGCTGGGAGGGGACACAGCCAGGACAGCTGACCCAAACTGGCCAACGGGATATTCCATACCATAGGACGTCATGCTCAGTATATAACAAGGCGTTGGCCAGGAGGTGGCGTGGCTCAGGAACTAGCCGAGCATCAGCTTCAGGTGGTGAGCAACTGTGCTGTACATCACTTGCTCTATATATTCTTTTATCATTATCATTATTATAATCATCATAACTGTTGTTGTTGTTGTTGTTACTATTATTATTATTATCTTCCTTTTCTGTCCTATTAAATGGTCTTTATCTCAACCCACAAGTTTTACCGTTTTTCTTTTTGAATCTCACCCCATCCCACTGTTGGGGGCAGAGTGAACAAACAGCTGTGTGGTTGGTTTAGCTGCCGGCCAGCAGTAGGTTCCAACAGTAGGTTCATATGCTTTTACATTGACAAGTTTTATTAAACTATGTAACATAGACTGTTTTAAAAGAAACTTGCAAAAGTTGATCTGTGGATGTTTCCAAGAGGGAGATTCATGCACATATTGATAAGGCTGCAAAAGATCCTGAAAAAAACAGGTCTAAACTAGCGACTTAATATATTAATTCTTTATAATGAGAATAATCTTTCACTATCGTGCTATCCTGAGGTCCTCTATTAGTTATTCTATGCAGGCTCAAATTTTAATTTCTTTGTGACTGTCCATGCATCTAA